CTACCTTATACATCACTTATTTGTTCTGAAAATTCTCTGAAAACCCTTTAGATGTCTAGAAAATGAGATTATGAACACAATGACATATCCATATTGACTCTATCTATAATAGTGATCGAGTAACATGCATTCTCCTAAGACATGCCTTTTTAGCAATTTTGCTTTGAAATTTAGCACAAGATGTGCAAATTGTAATGTATTTTAGATTGTAATAATTATGTGTGCTACACTGCCATATTTTTTCCCTCACACTTTCCACAGAGGTTTATTATCAGTATTTTAAATTCTGAAAAAATGAAGTGCATTTTCACTACAAATAGGTTTCACTTTTGGTTTTCTTTCCTAAAAATGTTAATTTTTTCACGAAAAAATGCTATTTTACACTAATTTCTTCCTGATTCCTGCAATTATATTAGTCATATAAAAATATGATCAAAGAAGTGGTTTAAACAGTATACAATAGTTTTAAACCCATGTCTGCTATGAATATCACATGAATTCACTGTAAATTACATAAACAAAGCACCAATCACTATGAACACCATTTTTCAAAACAATGCCAAGGGAGGTAATTTGAAAATGAAAAACGTCCACAAACTTACATTTTTCAGGTTTGTAATTCTTATTTGGGTAAATTGAGACTCTGTGACATTATTTGCATGTAAATAGCACAAAAGTATGGTGATTCTATTGTGATAAGGGTTTCTTTATTGATGACATCACAGGTAATTATGATGTCATCAATGCTGTGGGGTCATCAATGTCATTATTTATGATATACAGGCGTTACACTCACTTTCGTTCTCTGCACCCCTGTAATATGTCATGGCAAAAATGAAGGCACACGGCTAGCTACTTGATTGGTGTCTGCTAAAAAAAAATCTGACCATAATTGTCCTTTGAAGATTATAGAGGAGCGACGCCCGACTACAAAGCCAATAAGTTTTACCATTACGTGAACACGATATTCTTTTGATGCACATCAAAGGATCAAACTAGCCTTCTCGTGTCATCCACAAGGAGATGTACACCGAGTCTTCAATTTTGCTTTGACATATGCCAGGGGTGCAGAGAGCGAAAGTGAGCGTAACCCCTGGATATCGAGGATGCGGGTTATACTGCATCGCTGGAAAATGTTTCTCTCAAATTCCTTACAGTATACCACTCATACATGTCACTCTATTCTAGATATCACGAAACGTCTTTTGGCATTTATACGACATTGGTGATCACAGTTAGGTATGACAAAGAAAGCCTATGACCATGATGTGTATGAATGGGGAGCCAATGAAAACAAAGTCGTTTTTTTGTATATTATGTTAATTTATTATGAAATATAAAATGCACTGCATTTTACTATCACATACAAGATGAGCACTCTAACAATAAATAATCATACCTCACATCTACTAATATCAACATTCACGCATGTAGTCTCTCTCTCTCTCTCTCTCTCTCTCAAGTAAATTTACATTGGTTCAATGAAGTTAATATCTCGTATGTCCCCTTATGCCTTTGATCTGCCTAATTTCAGCACATGTTTCATTACAACATAATGAATCATAATCTAGTCATGAAATAGTTTTCATAATTATGAACTTTGTTTAAAAATTTATATTCAATAGATGTAGAATACCAACATTTATACTGGTAACCAGAAATGAGAAAAAGCTAAGATTGACAGTGATTTTCCTCCTTTTACCCCTGTTTATATAAAGAAAAATTGTTGTTTATTTATCTTTATTTAACCGGTATTTTCCTTTTTATCTTCCTTTTAAAATTCTCGGAAACATTTACCACAGAAGCTTGACTTACTCTCAAATCATACATAAACTTCCTCCTTCCTTCCTCAACGGTCACACCTCCTTACATACAGTGGTATTATACAACATTTTGCTAATATCAATGCATAATTTCATCAACCCGAGGAAAAATGTAATATCAAGGACAAAGTGTGAGGTTAATATACATTGTTTCCTCAAGCGATAAAAACAATCATTGACCAAAATAAGGAAATAATTCTAAATAATAATCTTAATATTTTTATGTACTGGACGGCGTTAATCTCGTTCAACTAAATCATACACCACTTGCTTCACTACGGACAAGAACTTATCAGTTTCTTTATAGAAGAGCAACACGCCTCTAGAATGTTTCCTCATGAAAATCCCCGTTATCAAATTTCTGTTGATAATAGTTTCCATTTGCATATTTTTGTAACAGCAAAGTGTCATGAGATCGCTGGTGTCGTTCTTCTGGTAGCGTGGAATTATTCTTCTAGTCCTTTTGACACTTGTGTTACAAAAACACTTTGCGTAACTAGTTTGTTAATAAAATTCAATAGCACATACTACTATCCTGGCATGTACTGCTTGGACTATTGAGTCCCATATGTTGCTTCGAGCTAAAAATTCTACATCAATCTGAAAGAAAAATAACGCTTTTGATATACGTCCTGGAGACAAAGTTAGAATGATTGAATTAACAATTTCTCTTAATGAAAATTTGTATAGAAATCCTTGCTGCTTTCAAATTTCTATTTCACATTTATTTTGACTAGTGTTTAACAGGACATGGTATGCCATTTTTGTGACCCAGTTTCAAAGAAAACAAACAAAATCCAACTATTTAAAAATAAAAACGCTTTGTATTGTATACCTTTCGTCACTAGGGTTGTAAACAGTGAGGCCCTATCACGTCAAAGGAAACCTCTTTGGTATCAAAGGGAGAAAACTCTATTTCTGATGAGAGCAGGAGCTGAAGGATGCCACCTCGAGTGTCACGTAGATTTAAGAACTTGTCAATCTCCGCCTGGCGCACCTGTGGACAAGATACAGAGTGTATTAAACTTTACACTGTAAATATAATGCTGCTCACTATTATATACAACACATGTTAAGTGATTCTTCTGTGCCAGATAAATTGTGTTTATTTTGTAACTCGATTACAATCTATGCTTAGTCTTGGTTAGATATATTATGCTTTGTCTTGGTTAGATATATTATGATTTATGCTTTGTCTTGGTTAGATATATTATGATTTATGCTTTGTCTTGGTTAGATATATTATTATCTATGCTTTGTATTGGTTAGATACAATATGATTTATGCTTTGTCTTGGTTAGATATATTATGATCTATGCTTTGTCTTGGCTAGATATATTATGATTTATGCTTTGTCTTGGTTAGATATATTATGATTTATGCTTTGACTTGGTTAAATATATTATATTCTATGCTTTGACTTTGTTAGATATATTATAATCTATCTCAGGCTGATTAAGTCTGAAATAAGGTTTCCAATGTATACACACACTTATATGTAATTTGAACCATGTAAATCTGACTATGGTTAAAGGAAATAGTGTTCCTACGATGTTTGTCTTAGAGAGGTTTTACTGTTTTTAGTTTTCATTAGGCTATACTAATTTAATTGTGGAGACTCTTGCAGTGAGTAGTAACAGACCTGTTCTGCCTGGTGGTTGCCTATCCGATACACCGGAAGTGTTGTTGTGTGCAAGAGAGGATACGCTGATTCTTTTATCACTTCCTCAAATAATTTCTTCATGTATTCATGGTCACGCTGCAAGTGAAAATATTATATACTAAATGTTATGGCAAGTTGGAGTTAATAGATTTCGTACAACATACAACTGTTCACTTCTTATTCAATAAGAATACATTAATTGTCACATGAAAATATGAGACTAAAAAGTTATGTATACAAATATGCTTATCAATCTCATTCATATTATTCTGCTGTGATCAAATGTTGTTATTCTATAATTGATTTCAAAAATAATCACAATAAACGCTTGTGAAAAAGAACAATAAATAATGTAATAATGCAGATAACTTATAGATTGCTAACACTTAAGTTTGTACAAGCTAACGTTTCCGTACTAAATATTTGACATCAATGCTTAACACAAATTCTTGCGAAATATAAATAATCTGCAATATACATTTACATTAACATTTAATATATTATACATTTACCACAATGTCAATACAGTTTTCATCATAAATTAAAACAGTAGATCTTCAATGAACATGCATATATACATGAAGCAATCTTACAGACGTATGCATTGTACTACACAGCGGGGACCCCTTAATAAAAACGTAGATACAACTACGTGGATTGTTCCTCATTTGACTTCACATTAGTTTTTGCTCACTACATCTTGACTTGACAGCAACGCTATATATAGCTCTGGTTTGTATCTATGGTCAATAAGGTTGCCACAACTGACCTAGACACATCACAAATTCTACAGATATTGTGGTTTGTGCCATTTAAACACCGACTTGAAAGGTATTAAAACCTTAGAACCTGGCCTCTTACGCGTATGCTACAGCTATAATATATTTATTTAATCACTATTGAAGCTGGAAAGTTCATTTGTAACATAAAAGTAAACAAACTTTTTCGTAGAAATGTTCATGTTGATAATGGTTAACAGCTAAGTCATTTAAGGACATAAATTATAAGCGATGCATGTAGCCCTAAGTTCTAGATCCACTAGACTAGTCTGGAGCAGACTGTTTTTGGATGTTTTTTTTTAGATTTGCATATTTTCAAGATCAACGATATAATACAGTACTGTCTAAGTAATGGATTCGTAAAATTATTGAAAAAAACTCCAAATATCATTTTTCTCGTCAATATACGATAAAAAACATCGCCTACGGTTCACCAGCTCGGTTAAGTTAGTTTGTAAGTGATTTCAAAGGTCTCTTGTTTTGAGTGAATTGAGTGGATTTACAATATAAAATCTGATAACTTTATGGTGTAAGACAACAAGTTCATCAGATTTTTACCGTAAAGACAAACTATTAATAGAGAAATTCATCCGCTCTGACAAATTTTACCCCATTTGTTTAATTGCAGATTTAAATTGACCACTTGTTCCATATGTCTAGTAGATCTGTTTGTAAAGCATGCACAAAACTAATCTTTTTTCAGATTCAGTGCAGTCAAAGTTAGTAGAACACTATCAACATTGTGATGTGACGCCCGACTTTCAATCAATGGTAAGCGGAATACATTAGGGATAACTCTTTTTAAAACCTTTTTTGTATATATTTGCAAGCAGTATAAAAAAAACCTAATCAATTGTACTTTAGAAATATTGTATGTATTTAGATAACTGTATGTGTTAAATATGATACAACAAACTATATTTTGTCTAGATGCCCAGATAGAAAGACACAAATCTTGTCGCCAAGGACACACACACAAAATTGATAAAAATGAAATTCAGTAAGCATAATCACATTGTGCATTAGTTACACCACAATTAAAAAATCATCGCCATATCAACAAATCAACAACACGTTTTGCAAACAATACTTACAACAAATTGTAGTCATGCACATGCATGTCAGGTAACAAAAGAAAAGGACGGAAAAACAAGGTCAATTGTAAAGTGAAAATTTTACAAAAAAATATCAAATACGTTCTAGTTCTTCCATTCACACAATATTGTAATAATAAAACTATCCTACACTGTATATGTATCAATGTCACAACCATTTATACAGAGTACTACAATGTTACAATATTTTGCAAGAGTTGAAATTTCCATCTGCATTATGCTACATACCGTATACTTCTGTTTTAAAGTGTGTATGTTTGAAATGCTACAATGCACTGTCTGTTAAAGTTTTCAGTGGTTTAGGATGTCTGGAGAAAAGATCCCACAGACTTGTTGCTGTAAAGTGTGACTGGTTTAAAATAATATTGGAATGTTTTGTTTCTGTGGATCAACTCAACATGTATAACCGAAGTATTGCATCAGTGTTTTAACTCATGTACAGATATATGTAAATCGTAGAATACAAACACCAGTCTTCCTAGCTTTCAACGCATAGAAAACGTAGGATTACTCATTTGTAAACCACTTCCATCAATAAGATTAGGATTTTGTGTGGCGGTCTTAACTACATAGATGTCTTTGTATGATTATTGCTGGTACAACACGGTTCGTTATTTCTATTTACATTTCCGTTAATATATTAACCATTGCCGATTATTGAGATACTCCCTATTGTGCAATAGCCCGCACAAGACTAAGACATTTTGACAGATAAACATCAATCTGTCAAAATGTCTAAGTCTTGTGTCAGGGCCAGAGGAAACTCGACCGAACTGAGCAAGAATCCTTTTTATAAACTATTAATTAATGTTCCACTACCAGATAATGTTCTCGAGTAAATACAGTACCATGTTAATTATCATTACCTTCTGCAACATCTATAATGTCGATTACATCGATCATTGATCGGTTTAAACAGTCTATTATTCAATAAGGCATCACAATTTTTAACATGCATACAATATTAGTCGGACAGAATGACAAGCCGAGAGTTTATGTACATTTCCCTACTATGTTCAATCCAGTCTAATATGCTGCTTTGCTAACTGAACACAGTAATACATGCATCTGTATTTACAAATCCTGATATATCGGTGTTATAACATAAAAATATACTGTACACACCTGGAATACTGATTACCACGACTACAACTTATTCTCATGTCTAACGTGTACAGCTCAGCTCAAACTCGTCCGTAATCAAAACAAATATTTTTGCATTGGATGTTTACAAATGATCTCTTTAATTCAACACTGAATAGCTAGGATCATGTTGCTCCAACTTTGAATAAATTAGTTTCAACCTACTTTTACGATACTGAGCCCGATTGTAAGCAGAAAAATCACATTTATGTATCATGCAAAACTTCCTTAAATGACATCACCGTTACACAAGGACTGACACATATTTATGCCTGGTACATTACACATACAGCACTAATTTAATAATGGTATGTTTATATTAAGCATGCTTCCATATACCTTTTACCGATAATACAAACTGGGTTTCCCAAGCAAAGCATGTTCATTTATATGCACTAAGACTAAACTATAAACTATCTGATTTACACCTAGCTAAGTTTACCAAGCCAACCACACCAGACTGGCTTACTACTCACCAGCTATGCAATATATGTTGTTTTCATCTTAAACTTTAATACCTATACTATTTTGCCTCTTAAAGCGTTCGAACATTTCTAATGCCGACTATAGATACATGTATCTCATTAATCAAAAAGAAACTTTGTGAGTTTAATCACACTAGGTATATCTGATGGGACCAGCTAGTTCCCAATATTATTTAATTCATTTCAAACAAATAAAAAATGCTTGGGTTTTTACAGATGTTCAATAATGTCTTGAAATTTTGATTGTAGGTTTACAGATGCAGAAAGTTCTCTACATATCTACATATGGCTAATGCAGCATAGAAAGACGATAACAAGGGTTATAAGGTCAGAGGTCGAAGTTCAATGGTAATTACCATAACTGACAAATAGGGTGGAAGGAAAATAGAATTCTGCAAGAAAATGTATCAATCAATCAATACAGCAAATACGTTTTTGAAATAAAGTAATCTCTCAAAATAGGAAATTAGCAACAGATTTGGTGTTTAACTTTGATGGGAAAACAATTAATATCTGATAAAACAATAAACCAATAATAATGAACTTAAATAATATTAATGTATAAATACTGAACACAAATATGACAATTAAGTGTACAATTCTAGCGACGATTTCGTGATTCTGCCTCAGTGAACCTCAACCTAAAGCAACACATCTAGTTAATAACTCACTCTCTGTGTTTGATAGCAAATAGCTTATATGTGATTTTGATACAAGAGGCCCAATGGGCCTGCATCGCTCACCTGTTATTAATCTAACACTTGTAATCTTAAGATTTCATAAGAACCTATTAAAAGATTTAAACATATGACGCCTCTGACCTTGATTGTTGAACAAGGACATTAGGTTGAAAGTGGATCAAGGTCATTCATTTAAACTAACATGGTAGTCCTTCATCCCAGCATGCTACAGGCCCAATTTCAGTACCCTGGCCCTTTTGCTTATTGAAAAGAAGT